CTCTCAGTTCTCGTTGAACGGACTATAGTGACAACGAAGTTTTTTGTTTTATTCAGTCATTTATATATATTTATTATGTCCGACAATGTAAAAAAGAAAAAAAAATGCATTTTCGGCTTCTGAGAGTCCCAGCTCCGAATAAAACTTTAAAAAAAAGAGGGGGGAAAGTAGGATCTGGGGGCCTTTGTCATCTCGGGGCCTCAAGCTACAGCTTATTTAGCTTATACGTAAATCCGGCCTTGCTCTATGCTACTCCCTTTAGTGGAGTCATGCATCCCCGAAGAAAATCTACGAGCTTGGCTTAGAAGTCCTTTAATTAATAAACAAGAGAATTCTTATAGCGATAAGTTGGCTCAACTGTTAACATTTCTAAGAACGGAAGTAGAGGGTGAAGAACGGATTGCTCTAGCAAAAACTGGTTTTAAACAAGCTGAAATAGTTGAAAAGAGACAAAAGCACAGAGAAACAGAATTTTATCCACCTACGGCCAATGATTTAATATCTGGGTTTAAAGAAAAGGCAAAGTTGAACTGTATATTTTGTAACAAATTACATGAAAGTAAAGACTGTTTTAAGGGACAGAAACTGTCATTAGAAGAAAAGCGAGAAGCAGTCAGAAAACATAAATGCTGTTTTTGTTTTGTTTGAAACCAGGGCATTTATCGAGAAACTGCAGATCAACTGTACGCTGCATGGTCTGCGGAAAGAGACACTGGGTAATAATGTGTCCTAATTTATCGCCAAGTCAGAAAGTGGAGATTCAAGAAAGTCAAGAAGTGCCACAAAATCTTGCTTTAGCCAATCACAATGTTTCAGAAGAAGTTTTGCTGCAGACTTTGCTTGTTGTGATAAATCATGGGGGAAAACGTAGTGTCGTTAGAGCTTTAATCGATACTGGCTCACAATGCTCTTATGTACTAAAATCCACAGTTGAACGAATGAAAATAAAACCTGTAGGATTTGAAACTCTGAATCATGTGGTGTTTGGTGGTTGCATGACAAGATCTAAACACAATGCCTATAAATTAAATGTAAGCAGTGTTCATGCAAACAAAATTTGCGAAATGCAAGTCTTAGACCAACCAACCATTTGTGGAATGATACCAAGAACAAATGACGTATCTTGTTTAAAAGAGTTAGAAGAATTGGGAATCCAGATAACAGACCGTGGTAAAGGTAGACTTCCTATTGAGCTCCTAATTGGAGCAGATATTGCAGTCAAATTGTATACAGGTCAAACGCAAATTTTAAAATGTGGTCTTGTTGCTGTGCAGACGCACTTAGGTTGGACTATCATGGGAAGGTCTGAAAATCATAATTGCAAAGACAACACTATGACATCGCTATTTTTACGAAGCCATAGTATAGAAAATCTTTGGAAACTGGAAGCGATAGGAATTAGGGATCCTTGTGAAAGTATGAACATAGAGTTATTGGAAAAAGTGGCCTATGATCATTTTGAAAAGACTCTAAAGATTACTGAAGATGGACGCTACGAAATTAGTTTTCCTTGGATGCAAAGTCCCGACGAATTGCCAAGTAACCGCGAACTTGCAGAAAAACAATTATTGTCCACTTCTTGGAGACTCAGTAAAGCAGGAAAGATGAAAGATTATAATGCCGTGTTCCAAGAATGGTTGCAATGCGGAATAATTGAAGAATGTTCAGAAGGGCCAGGTCACTATCTGCCACATCATGCAGTGTTCAAACCAACTTCCACTACCACACCTGTTAGACCCGTTTTTGACGCCTCGTGCAAGTCGAAGGGAAATATGTCATTAAATGATTGCTTAATAAAAGGTCCAAATTTGCTCGAAGACATCCCAACTGCTCTTCTTAAATTCAGACAGAAAAAAATTAGAGTTGTTGCTGACATTAAGAAGGCGTTTTTGCAAATTTCAGTAGCAGAAGAGGATCGCAAGTATTTGAAATTCTTATGGTGGACAGATGAAGAAAAAAAAGTCTATTAAGGTATACCAGCATTGCAGAGTTGTTTTTGGACTTAATTATAGTCCGTTTTTACTGGGTGCTGTTTTAAGACATCATTTAGAGTCATTTGCATTTTCTCCATATCAAGATGTTTCAGAGACACTTAAATCTGCTTACTATGTGGATAACTGTGTTACTTCAGTTAATTCTGAAAAAGAATTACAAAGATTTGTAAAAGTGTCTACAGAGATCATGGCCAAAGGAAAGTTCGAGTTGAGAGCATGGGAATACTCTGCTGTTAAACGTTCAAGTGTTCCTATGGTCCCATCACAAGTTTTAGGTTTACTATGGAACAAGAATGAAGATGTTATTTTTTGTGATACTCAATCCATTTCAAACCATCCAGAAAAGATAACTAGAAGGTCCATTCTTTCCATGACTCAGCAAGTATTCGATCCGCTTGGATTTTCATGCCCAGCTACGTTGTATCCTAAGTTACTATTACAAGAGAGTTGGAGGTCTGAATTGGGCTGGGATACTGAGGTTTGTGAAGATAC